CTTGAAAAGTGACCCTCACAGAACCCTAGTACATTTCCATGTAACCCCAGGGATCCAAAAGAAACATCTGGAATGTGCTGCACCAGAAGTTATAGCAATGCAGGGGAGGACAAATAATTTTCTCTATCCTTCATAGTTCTTTGCTGGAACAGACACCTGTAACCAAAGACAGATTAACAAGAGAAATGCAAATAAATGTTTATTAATGTATACCTCATGTATCCATGGAAGATGCCCAGGGAATAAGTACTTCTCAGACAGACAGCTTAGAAATCCAGCTTATGCAACCATTTTCAATAAAGAACAGTAAATTTTTAAGAGAAGTGACAAGACAAAAAAAAAAAAAAAAAAGGACTTTGAACCTCTATGGATAGCAAACTGGGAAGACAAATAATAAGGATTTATTATATAAATCCCTAGGATGCTGCTTTCAGGCAAATAAGGGTTAAAAGTTGCCCTTTGTAAATTTATGTCCTGCATGTAGGCAAATGCAGGAGGGCAGAGAGCTTTTTTATTTTTTTATTTTTTATTTTTTGAGAGCATTTCTTCAATCTATTTTTTTCTCAATTGCTTTCAGCTCAAAATAATCATTATGTGATTGTGGCATATTTTGGGGGCAGCATACTCATTTCCTACAGTGGCAGTGGTAGCAGCTATGCTAAGTAAAGCTATAGCCTCCTGGAAAGAATTAGAAACATTAGAACAAAGCAGGTGAGAGCACAACCTCTACAGTCATATTAGACTCAAAAGAATAACTCTCCTGCATCAGACATAACACTTCAAATATCCCATTGCTACAAATTCACCTGCAGACACCCTGACTTACTTTCTTTGATAATTTGTGCAAATAACTTCTCTGACCCTTGCTTTCTTTGTTAATGATGACATTAACTCCCTGATTGGGTATTTGTGATGGCCACATGAGGAAAACCCTTAAATACGTCATTGGCCATCAGCACTCAATACATTTTAGCTAGTAAATATAATTATTATTGTTAATATTAAGAACTGAAGCACCCTTTGGGTCAAAGAAGAATAACCCTTTGCTTACTTTGTAGTTTAAAGCCATATTTCCATCTATTTTCTAGAGTTTCAACAAGTCAAAAATAGGCATATTAGAGTCTCCCTTTCTCTTTTGGCCCATAGGTCACTTTGTTCACTGACCTTTTCCTTAACTGGCCTACAATGTAAAGTTACCTGTTTTTGATGGTCTAAGATCTTTGTGTCTGCTATCTTAGAGTTCAGTTTTTGCTTTTTAATTTTGGGAAGGAGTGGGATTAATTTTTTTTTTAAAGATAGAAGATAAAGCCCCCATGCTGCCTTAAACTTTTTGAAGTTTCTTTTTCGAAGGTGTTTTAAGTTCTTTGAATCCATCACTCCAAGGACACATGCGATACAGGATGGGATACTCTAGTGTGACTTAACAATAAAATATTTTTTCAAGACCAGCTACAAAGCACTGCTACTCCTTAATGTAATGTCTGCACTGCATTTTCAATGTCTGTCCTGTTAAACATACCTTATGGACACCAGTCTTCAAAGAACATCCTTACTCTGTTGGCATATTTCACTGAGAATAGAAACCTCTAAGATACCATAGAATTATGTGTTTGGAGCAAGAAACAATCTTAAGACTATCGATTTAATAATTTTAAAAGGGTAAATCTCAGGGTCTAGCAGTAAATCACAACACTCTGTGAGACAATCCCATATGGGGAGGTTCCCAGGTCAAGTCCCGAGAACTCCCTCAGGATGCCAGGCATATACTTGTCTGTGATCTGGGGCTGGCTAAAGGCTGGGGTGGATTGTAGCATCAGGGCCTTGGTGGGAGCTCTTGCTCTTTCTTTCTCTCTCTACAATATATATCTGTCTTTCTCACTCATTAAGGAAATAAATAAATGAACCTTAAAAAAAAAAAATAAAGCCCAGAAAAGTGATGGAAAGTAAGATCCATACATCTAGTCAGAGGCAAAGCCAAGAGCAGAAGCAAAACTCTTCATTTGGGGTTCTGGATTCTTTTGACTATCCATCTTCTGAGACAGAGGAAAACAAAAGTACTTCTCCTATTCTACTCTCTTACACAGTGACTCCATATAACACTCTGACAAGATTCTCCAGAAGACATCAGATGAATATCCTCTAATTCAGTTCAGTTCAATTCTGATACTTTTTACCTAGAGATAGAATTGTTCAACTATATTGGCCTCTGTACTCATACTTGAATTCTTGTAAACAAACCACCACTTCAGTTGGATATCTGCTTCCTTAACAGCTTAGTGAGTCATAGCTAAGCACAACAACCTTGCTTCAGTCAATCAAAGAGAGCCTGCCATTAAAAATGTGTTCATACAGGCCAACAAGCTGCAACCAATCCAGTTGCTTCTGTACCTCATTTCTCTCACTTCCATTTTCTTACATCGCTTTCCTTTTTCTGCCCACAGAAGTTATTGGACCATGTGGTACTTCATAATTCCTTGGAAGTCATTCTGAGGGCTGCCTGATCTGCAAATTGTGTTTTGCTCAATTAAACTCTGCTAAATGAGATTTGTCTAAAGTTTTTCTTTTAATATTTTCACCCCACATATTGAGGGCTCAATCCCATGAGACTGACCCTCACCTCAGCTGCCAATGGCAAATCTCAGTTGTGACCAGCACTTCCGACCCACCAGCTATAAATCAGGGGTTCCCATGACCCCCTCCTCAGATTCAATTACTTTTCTAAGAGAACTATCACTACTTTGGTTCCCCTGGCAACCAGCTCCCATCCTAAGGCCATGGAGGAGTCTCCAGCCATCTTATTAGCATATTATCATATTAGCATCTCATTAGCATTTAGGCACTTACCACTTGGAGATATCAAGGTTCCTAGGAGCTGTGTGTCAGGAAATGGGGATGAAGATGAAATATGCAAGCATCTTATTATAAATCATAATGTCCTACTGCTTATCTCCAGATTTCTTGGTATACAAAAAAATTAACTTACTGGTTTAAACCACTGTCGAGTAAGGGGGACAATGGTGAAAGATCATAAAATTCATTGTCTTCAACAAAAAACTAGGCATTGTTTCATAGACTCCTCCAGATGATCTGATTCTATGAAATGTCTGTACCTTTCAGTGTTGTTGAGCTATTTTATAAATCTGTATATTATATATAATTGCCAACAATGCAAATGACTCTTGCCCATAAACATGCAAATGAATTTTGTCTTGGGGAGGTGCCACTGATCTCCTACAGTTTTACTCTATGAATCAAATTTATTTCAGTATTCCTGATTGCCTACATGTCTCTTCTCTTTGGATTTTGCTTTGAATTGATTGTAATATCTTACTGGTTCCCCCCCCTTTTTTTAAAGAATTATTTATTATTATTATTATTGTTAATATTATTTTTAACATGAGTTTTGCCAGAGAAAGACTGGGGTAGGGGGGAGTGAGAAAGCAAGCCGCCAGGTTCAGGACTCAACCCATGGCTGGCCATGTGGGAATTCCAGCATCTTAACCACCATGCCACCTGCTGGCCCACTGATTCCCTCTTTAATTAAATGAGTTATATAAAATCTTTGGCATGTGCTCATTCTATATTTGTATAAAAGTAATAATTTTACTTCTTTAATGGAGTATATTCTTTAACAAGAGTTTTCTATTACTTGCAGCCATATCGAAATCATCTTAACTGATGCATATACCTAGCATGACTATATCCAAGTGAAGTAGCATAGAGGAGAAATTTTTTTTTCTTCAATAACCAATGGGTACCCAAAACCAAGTTTATAAGAGTCACAATGTAAACAAGCCATAAAAGAAACTAAGTGACTTGATATTGTACTTAGTCTTGTGTCCAACTTAAAAGATTAAACTTTAGAAAAATCAGTCTCATGTCATAAAGAGTCTTATATAATCTAACTGTTGGCCTCTCTCACAAAAGATGGAGCCTAATGCTTAACTAATAGAAGCTAACAATAACCTTGCTGAATCTTTACTGAACTATGGAAATAGGGAAAAGAAAGACTCCACCAGTCCCCTCCCTTATGATTAGCTGAAGAAGATTTTATCGGCTCAAGCATTACAAAGTCATGTCTTGACCTTTTCTCCTTCTAAACCAAGACCTAAGAGTTATTTTAGGAGCCAGCAGATAGTATAGTGATTAAGGCACTGGACTCCCACATGGCTGACTATAGTTCAAGTTCTGGACCTGGTGATTTGAAACTCATGCCAGGCACACGTGCTTATGTGCCCAAAATCCTGAAAGAAGAATGGAGCATAAGGGATTGTGGTGTGGCCATTTCTTGCTTTCCTTCTCTCTCTGGTGAATGCACATACCCTATAGCAAAAACCTCTCAAATAAATAAATAAATAAGAGCCATTTTGACTGACTCCATTTTGCTTTTGGACCTAATTCTTCACTGTTTATCGTTAAGCTCTTGCAGAGAACTGAAACTAGTCATTCTTCCCTGCATGCCCAAAACCGAAACTTCCCCTCAAGCAGTAATTGCCCATCCTCAACACACACAGTACCAGACTATTAGGTCTCCTAGTCATTCTACCCAAAGACAATGACCAGAACTCCTTGAGATCTGCCCTAAGACAATGGATGATTTGCCCTTTGTTTCTAAATGTACACTGACT